AGAGATATATTAGAACAACGGCAAGAGAACAGATAGAGAAGGAAGGAGAATCATCGAACCGTGCCATCAATATCAGCACAGACAGGAGAGTGATATATTAGAACAACGGAAAGAGAACAGACAGAGAAGAAAGGAGAATCATCTAGCCGTGTCATCAATATCGGCACAATTATCAAACACAAATAAATAGACAGAAGAAGAACATATATAAGAGTAAAATAATGTCATCGTTTTTTATTCTATTGTTTTAAGCATTTCAATGCACGGGGGAATAAAATTGATCCGTCTGCACTAGAATGTTTAAAACAATAGAATAGAAAAACGAAGACATTGTTTTACTCTTATGTATATTCTTCTTCTGTCTATTTATTTGTGTTTGATAATGTTCTTAGTTAGAACGAAACGTCACACTGATTGATCTTAATCAATCAGTTGAAAAAAATGTTAAATAGCTTAGTTTCATTAATGATTTCATTTTAGAGCTTGTTATTTTACTGAGTTCGTCGTCGATTGAAATTCTTACGCGAAGAAACATTAATTTTTTAACTCTTATACCATAAAAAGAATATAATGCTGAGTATATATTCCGTTTTCAGTATAAGTCTTAAAAGAACAACTAGATGATAAATATGCGTAAGTCATAAAGATTACAGGAATCAAATAAAAACTTAGCTGCTCTATTAACTTTTGTAGCAATAAATTATTTTTTATTTACGACAGACGACTGTTAAAGAATGAGAAAAAAAAATAGTCTCAACAATGAATAAATTTTAGAAGTACGTCAATAGTGTTGCTGTTCAATATTTTCTTTTAATAAAATATACCAAAAACTTGATATCGTTTTATCTATGGTATTTTTTCCCTAGAATTTTTCGTTTGTCGTATCAATTCATTGATTCTTCTTAAAAATCTAAGTTTCATTATCACATACATATTTGATACTAATAAACTAATTTAGATTCTTCTTTCACTATTCATCGAGATTATCATAAATCACAACTTTGTAACTAATTATATATTTCTCCATAGGTATTAGAATAAACTAGACTTGAGAATTCATAACGAAAACTTGAGAAGATTTCGATAGAATATTTATCAGATGTAAGACAAACCCATCATCCTTGAGCGATCGACAAATTTCTAATTACCTACGAAGAGTATAGAAAAAAATGTGGAAACCTCGGATTTAAATCCGAGAGTTATGTGTACCTCAAAAAGTGAATGAGACTGATTAGTCATCCTAGAATGTGTGGGCATAAAAATTATCCTGGCAAACATTTTCTATAAATAGTTGATTTTTTGGCTACTGCTCAACCACTAGGATTTACGGATGAATACAGCTCAGATTTGAACTCTTCGCCTTGATTTACCTTAGGAAAGTCGTTTTTCCGATAACTTGATTTCTATTGGTTACTGCTCAACCAATAGGATTTCGAGGCAAACGGAGCTCAGATTGGAGTTCTTCGACCCAAAAAACCTCGAACTGTCATCTCTATGATAGAAAGACAGAGCTCTAATTGTCGATCAATTAGAGTGTGAACACAAACAGAACCAATTGTCGTTTAATTACCCTTGCAATAGATGAGTTATACTTCTTTATGTTTTATATACTATTCTGTAGCTCGTGAAATTCTCTATCGAACGGTGTATAATAGTTGAGGTTTCATTTGACTATGATAGGGAAAGTGTTTTACGAATGTGGTGATAGGTCTATTTTCCTATAGGAAGCCATAGGGGAAAATGAGTATTTTTGCAATAACTCAGGAACGGCTCGGCCAATCCTTCTTACCTTCGAACTCGACCGAGATATTGTTGAGACTAAACTGTGTAGAAAATTTCATCGGAATCGGACTCTCCTTTCAAAAGTTATCGTGTAAACGGCCGGCCGGACATACTGACCGATTCTAGAGTGTACTCACTTTTTGAGTACACAAAAAGTGAAGATAATTGGGTCCTCATAATATAGGACTTGAGGACCTAAGAGCACTCTCACAATATAGGACTTGAGGACTTAAGGGTACCCGTATAATATAGGACTTGAGGACCTAAGGGTACCCTCATAATATAGGACTTGAGGTCCTAAAAGCACTCTCCCAATAGAGGACTTGAGGTCCTAAAGGCACCCTCACAATATAGGACTTGAGGACCTAAGGGTACCCTTATAGAATAGGACTTGAGGACCTAAAGGCACCCTATAGTACAGGACTTGAGGACATAACGATACCCCCCCCCCCCCTAATATAGGACTTAAAGACGTAAAGGTACTTAAACAGGCCCCCCTCTCGGAATAGGTCAATATCGGTATCGGAAAAGGTGAATGAGACAAATCGGTCATCCTAGAATGCCTGGATATAAAAATTTGCGTGGCAAACCTTTTCTATAAACCCTTGAATTCCATTGCCTACTGTTTAACCGTAGGACTTAAGAGCGTATACAGCTCAAATTTCACCTGTTCGGCTTTATTTAGCCTCAGAAAGTCGTTTTTCCTATAACATGATTTCTATTGGTCAATACTCAACCAATGGGGCTTCGAACCAAGTTTAGTGCAGATTCTAGTTCTCCGCCCCAGAAAACCTTCGATTATCATCTCTATGGTCGAAATATAGAGCTCTAATTGGTGATCAATTAGAGCGTGCACAAAAGCAGAACTGATTCTTCCCTATTTATCTTTGCGATGAGTGAGATAATCTTCCTGTTTACTCATGTCTTATATATCATTTTGTAGCTCTTGAAATTCTCTATCGAATGGTATATAATAGTTGGGGTTTTAATTGACTATGATAGGAAAAGTCTTTTACGAAAGCGGCGATGGGTCGATTTTTCCATAGGAAGCTATAGGGAAAAATGGGTATTATTGCAATAACTCAGGAACGGCTCGGCCGAACCTTCTCATCTTCGAACTCGATCGAGATATGGTAAAGGCTGAACTGTGTAGAAAATTTCATCGTGATCGGACTCTCCTTTCGAAAGTTATCGTGTAAACGGCCGGCCGGCCGCACATACTGACCGATTCTAGAGTGTACTCACTTTTTGAGTACACAAAAACTTTAAAAAACGATCGATGTGTCAGAAGAAAGAGTGTACTCAGGTTTTTGTAATATCTAAACGCATTCTAATGAGTAGGCCTCATTTTGTTTTCGAAAAAGCAGAAGTTAAATTTTCAACAAGTTCAAATATTTATTTAAAGAAATGAAAGTTCATGCATCTTTAAAACATAAGGTATGAGTAGAAGTCTTTTGAACAAATATCAAAACAAAAAGAAAAGTTTGTAGAAAAGACTTATACTCATGTCTTATGTTATATAGATGCCGAACTTTCATTTCTTTAAATAAATATTTTAACTTGTTAAAGATTTAACTTACGCTTTTTCGAAAACAAAATGAGACCTACTCATTGGAATGTATTGAGATATTGAGAAAAAGAACGAACGTGTATTGTCCATCATCAAATTAATAAAATTAGATGAATGGTCAAGTTACAAGCAAGACGAAGATGATTCTTGAATATTAAACCTTTTTTTCAAGTAAAGAATCGTTTACAATAGATGAAATAATGAAAAATTATGGTTTTAACGTCAACGAATCACTATTTATGACATTTACAATTCGAAGTTTAAACGACAAGAACATAATATTACTTTATGACATACAAAATCGTTTTTTGGGATAAACGCGTCATTTGGTCAATATATCATCGTTTTAATGGCAGAACAGCGTTTCCTGAACTATCTGGGTAGCGTACTCATATACAGTTTTAATCAATACCTACAACAGAGTTTATGCAGCGACACACTGCATTAAGCAAACGGAAAGCTGTTTGTTGAACTGAATTCACAGTATATTGATGATAAATTCCTCGTCAAGTAGATGCAAATCAACTAGAAATTTCTTCAATTTGCTCCTTTCGAGAGAAATCATAATTGACAAAGGCAAATGGATTTTATTCTTCCATATAATGCATTTGCGAATGTCGTCGATTTGTGACCTCCAAAAACGATTGAGAACGAACTCAAGTCAAAAGCCGATATTGTTGGATCGAATTTTGATGTACTTGTAATTTGAACCATGCATTTGAACTCTTACATCAATGAATCTGACTTCCAGATAAAATTGAATAGAGAATGTTGTTTCCATTATAAATCAAGAAGAAAAGATCAGCTCGTGACAGCAAAGGGCTGAGCGTGTATAAAAAATAAAAGTGAAGAATAAGATCAGCATACTAAAGTTCAACTTTTCACCTCAACAAATAAGAACGTCGCAAAAGAATTTTCTTTTTCTTTCACGTTCTTTACTCATTCGGACCCTTTGGTTTAAAGTAAGATTTGAGCTATTGCCCGATTTCGAATTCGTCAAGATTCACTTTTCTAAAAGAGGGTGTAAGTCTGTGTGTGAGGGTATGTGAAGAAATGATTCACGCCCATACCCACACCAAAAAGCTCAACATTATGTGTCAGTGTAATAGTGGCGTGACCATACACAGCCTGATTACGTTATTCTTGATGGTTTTGTTTACTTGGCAATTGACTCAACGAATGAAGCAAATCGTTTTTTGAAAACGATCGAATAGACCATCAACTTTCTTTGCATGTGATATGAATATAGTCTTTAGTTTTTGTTGCTTTTTTCAAATTTTTATTATATATTATGATTTTTATCGCATTAAATTCATAATAATTTGAACATTTTTACAAATGTTTTCTCTTTTTTCACTATGATATAGAAATGCACTTGTGAATTCAAAAAGTGATATGAAACACCCTCTTTCAGATTTTGGAGGCTATACATCATTTTGATGCAATGGCGATTTTTGTCTGTACATGCCAGTGGGTGCAGCTTATCTCAACCCTAGAATAAAACGATATCTTTTAAACAATGGTCACTTTGTTTCTACTTGCAGATGTATCGAACTTATCTCAATCTTATATCTAATTTCATAAACTTCATCAAGAATTTTTTTTTTTCATTTTATAGATAAATAACAAATTAATAATTAACAAAATTATGGCTACGGATATTTCTTATGCGGGACTCAGTGTGGAACAATTGGAACTAATACTACAAATTGTACAAACAAACAAAGAAATTGAACAAGCAACAGAAAAATCAAAAGCACACGATGTAGTCATTGAAAAAGAAAAAACAGAACAGTTACGGCTTGCAAATGAAAAAAGAAAAAGAGAAGAAGCCGAAGACAGAAAACGAATGAAAATAGATCCTAAAGAATGTATTACATTAAGTAGTGAAGTTTTGGATTCATTAATACATAATGATGGTTTTTACGAATTATGTGTAAAAGAAAATCTTGATTCGTTCGATATTACAAATTTATTAAATAATTATAATGATGTTAATGAAGATATGATAAATGTTATTAAAAATAATTTTGATCATTTGAAATCAATTAAGAATATATTAGAAGATCAAATTCAAAATACACTTAATCAATTATTAATTGATTTATTTTCTCAATAATAATTCAACATCATTGAAGTATTTAAATACATGTAAAAGAAAGTATTTAAAGGGTAAAGCTCCTTATTGTAGCTTTATATACAAAAATGTTAATATCTATCCAGAAGATGAACATGAATCTTTACAACATTTTGTAGTTTGTGTTGGTGAACTAAAATCATCAAGAAAGCCTATTGATGCACCGAAAGCAGTTGGACAATTGTTGCATTATATGACTCATATATTACAAATACAACAACGTGGCAAAGTCTATGGTTTTATAACAAATATTAACAGTATAAGATTTTATTGTGCTAAGCAGGAAAATGATACATCGATTGTTTATTATCAAAGTCAATACTTCCAAATGTTTGATGGTTCACCTAAAACATTACTATCATCATTTGTTAATCAAATAAATACAAGTGCACCAACAAGATATTTTAATGAAGCAACACTGAAAATGTTTATAAACTTTTTAACAATGGATACGAACTTTTATGGATACACAACATTAAATATAAATACTGATGACTATTTATATGATGATATATTTCATATTAAAATGGGATTAGGAAATGGTGCAACTTCATTCGTTTATTTATTAGCAAATAATAATAAATTAATTAATAATCCAATATGTTCTATAATAAAAATTTCTAAACATGATAAATATTGGGGTGTGGGTGTGGGTGGGTATGGGTGTGGGGTGTGGGTGGGTGTGGGTGGGTGTGTGGGTGTGGGTGGGTGTGTGGGTGTGGGTGTGGGTATGGGTGTGGGTGGATGTGGGTGTGGGTGTGGGTGGGTGTGGGTATGGGTGTGGGTGTGGCTGCGGGTGTGGGTGTGGGTACGGGATGTGATTCTTCTCATTGCCTACACCCAGACCCCACACCCACACCCACATTTAAGTGAAATTGAATATTGTTATTTGTTGTTGAACCTTCAAAACCAACGCTAATGAATGTTGATGAATTAGCCATGTTTCTAAATAAATAAAATTTATCAAATATGAATGGAAGGAAAAGTTTGATACGAACGAATATGATCAAATGGATAAAGATGAGCAAACACGATCAAATGAATGACGAAGAACTAAAAAGAAAGATGAATAATTCGCAACAGAATAATTGAAACATACCGACAATAAAGCGACAGATAAAAAAAACCGATGAAAAGCTGAATGAATCTAGAAACATGAAACAATTGTCGGATGAATAATTAAAAAAAATCGAGGTAAAAAGCTATGAGAATGTAAAACAATAAACGTATGAATCAACAGAAAAACACAAACTAAAAAGAGAGAAAGTGTTTATTCGAGTAAAGAAACAAAACAAACACATGTCAATACGAGAAGAAATCAACAGAACATCGTGGATCGATTAGCAAGAAGACATTAACCTAAATTAAACAAAAATTATTCAATGAAGTACAAAAATCAGGATGAAAGTGTCGAACAAATGAGAAAGACTATTTGTGATCTTCGGAGGCTTTTCACCCACTTTCTTTACTACATGTTATTTCCTTTTCTGCAGCTATTTCTAATAGCATTTTTAGTTTTTCCACATTTCATCATCCAAATTGATAAGGATACTAAAAAGACCTAATAAATATTCGCAAAAATCAAGCTTATCCGAGATCTCAATTTCTTTCTTTCTATTTTTCAATACTAACTTACAGATAAAAAAACAAGACTTCACAGTTTTTTCTATTTCAATCCTGCAAACAATTACACACAAAACAGATTTTCTAAAGTTATTAAAAAGAAAATAATTTCGAATTTTCCATTCAGCTCACCGCATACAATCGAAATCCCAACGAGCGAAGCATAGATAAATTCTAACGACAAATGCAATTTTTTGATCGATAATAACTGTTTTTTTCATGATGAGACCATAAGAAAACTCCACTTGCTGGATAATGATCAGTATGACAAATTACCTTAGAGATCATTTAAAAAAAAAAGAAGAATCCATCAAATTATATTTCATTAAAATTTTCAACTGACTTTAATAAATCCGTTTTCACTTTTACCAATTAATATTCGTTTTGTATATAAACTATTTAAACCTATAGCAAATGAATCTTCTTTAAAAATCATTACATATACGCGAACATCTTCATCCTACTATTTAAATAAAAATTATTTAATTATATTAAATAAAAATAAAAATCTTACAGCTAGTTTTCCTCATAAATTATCAACTCGAAATGTTTCATCATCTGTTGGTCTTATTAACACTATTTCTCATGAAAACCACCAATAAGTAATAAAAACTTCTTTAGCTATTAAAAGAGCTTTAGCTACGGCTTTCATATATGATTTACCATTAATAAATCTATAGACATATATTAAAATTTAAATGTTAATAAATAATAATCTTGTTTTTACCAATAAGCTAATTGTTGTTTTTGTACTAGTGCAAATAAATTAAAACAACTTGCTGCGCTGTTGTACTTATAAAATCTTTTGCTTGATTAGTTAAATTTAATAAATGCTGTGTCCATTCCTCTGAATCACGTGTATTTCGATATTTAATAACTAATATACGTTGTAAATTTTTTATTTTAATACCATTATATGTACGAGTATTTTGAAAACCAGGTAAAATTTCAAAAGCACGATCTACTAACATTGTAAAACGTACTTCATATGTATCAGGCCATATATATTTTATATAGGTATGTTTAATAACAAACCATCTATATAAAAATTTTAAAAAAAAAGAATTTTTTATGAAATAGATTTTCAATAAACAACATACTCTCGACCATGATGAAATTTACATGAATCACAAAAAAAAGGTAGACGAAAGAAAATATGTTGAACGCGATAATCATCATGAAACAGTTTTAAAAGATAACCTTCTTTTCGACTAGTTCATGTGCATGTGATCGACAATAATAACAAATAAGAGAAAAAGAAGATAAATTATAGAGAAGAACAGAATGAAACCTTCGTTTTTTTTTGTGAAGCTATAAGTGCGTAGAGAGAAGAAATTAATAACAAAGTTAACCATTATAATAAAATATATAGGAAAAAAAGAGCTTATGTAGTGTATATTCTGACGAAAACGAGTGTGGCGAGAATCACCAATTGACTATATTATGCAGTACCAGTCGCGACATCTGGTTCACATCATCACATCAGAAAAAAAAATTATACTAGAAATCGTATAAA